TGAAAAATAAAGATTATACAAACATGGATAAAAAAGGGCAGTTAGTGCAATCAGCCTATAACTTTACCAGATGATGTTCTTAATAACTTTAATGATAAAGATAGAGCTAATGGGATTTGGATAAGACCTGAAAGTCTCTATATGCCTAATACATTGACAAACTAGTTGTTCTTGAAGAAGCAGTTGTATTCCGTCCAAATGAGTGAAGCTACAAATACTTTGTCACATTTAAATCAAGGTAAGAGTGCTTGCTAGAAGAATGATGACTAGAATACTGATAATAGTGTTCCACTTATTACTTATAAAAGAAAACAAAAATCTCTCTTACTGCTTAGGACAATTACTTATGACATTGATACCATGATTTTGGGTGGCACTATGTTCTAGTGAGCCGGGTCAGAGCAGCAGTGAACATTGGTGAATCAATCATATCATTTTCTATACAGACAGATAGTTTACAGATATGTATAGTGTAGTCTTGTCCCACATTAGAAGAGTAGTAATATCTCCTTATAGTGTATAGGTATAAATAGGGACCTCTTGTATTGTATTTATCATCCAATATCAATAACATATTTTCTCCCGTGCCTTCTCACATGGTATCAGAGCATTAGGGAGAAAAGATCGATGTGCGTCATTCCAGCGTTAACCGGGAAGAAAGAATTTAGTCATCGTGTAATTTTTCCGGTGGCCTAAGGCTTGTCTAAGTGAAAGTCACTTTCTGTCGGTGTTGTGCTAAAACCAAAACCACCACGAGGTAGATCACCCTCCGACTACCAATCCCTAAAATTTTATCCGGCAGAAAAGCCGCCACGCTCCTCCACGCGCCGGCAACAACTTTTCCGGCGAGGGTTCCGGCTATTTTTTTCGCGAAGCTTCTTCACGACAGTATGCTCTTCTCAAAACTCCGAGCCTACCCATCTAATTCAAATCAAATTCCGGTCACTTTTATATTTTTCCGACGTGAACAGTGTCCTTTCCGGCCATTTTTTAAAAATATTTCTTCAGGACAGCTTGCTCGTAAAGGAATTTTGAGTCTATCCATCCTGGTTACAACAAATTCCGACAACTTTAGAATTTTTCGGCGAGCTACAATGTTCTGTTTTCCTGATGTAAACAGTGTTTTTCAAGCTATTTCTTCAGTTTTTTCACAGGAGTTACTTATTTCTACTATTTCAAGTTAACCCTACTACTACAAATTGTAGCGACATGGGAACTGATGCTTTGAATAGTCGGATGGTTTCTTTAGTAGAGTGTATTGAGTTCCTTCAGTATAAAGCATGTAAGCAGACATCTTCTGAGATAGCTTCTGTTGTTCAAACAAGTAATAGCGTGACTTGTTTCTCCCAATCTTCATCATCTTAGTCTTGGGTCATTGATTCAGGTGCATCAGATCATATTTCTGGTAACAAATCTCTTTTCACTACTATTTCGTATTCTCAATCTCTTCCAAAAGTCACAATGGCCAATGGGTCTCAAACCATGGCAACTGCAATAGGTCAAGCAAGCCCACTTTCTTCCTTACCTTTAGATTAAGTCCTTTATGTTCCCAATAGTCCTTTTAATCTCATAGTTGTTAGTCGCTTAGCCAAATCACTTAAATGCGTTGTTTTATTTCTTGATGACCATGTTTTTATACAGGAACGCAGTACAGGGCAGATCATTGGTACCGGGCGTGAATCAAACGGACTTTATTACCTTATCCTTGTTAAATCACATGGACTTACATCTTGTCTTCCTTCTACAACTTGTCCTGTTACTGATTCATCAGATTTATTACATAAACGGTTGGGACATCCCAGTTTGTCAAAACTTCAGAAAATGGTATCTGGTTTATCTCATTTGTCAGCTCTAGAGTATGAGTCATGTCAACTCGGTAAGCATATCCGCTCCCATTTCCCTCGATGTCTTGATAATCGAGTAGAGTCGCCTTTTACTTTAGTTCATTTAGATGTTTGGGGTCCTAGTCGGGTCAGTTCCACCTTAGGATTCCGCTACTTTGTCAGTTTCATTGATGATTATTCCAGGTGCACTTGGATATTTTTGATAAAAAATTGATCTGAGCTGTTTTCTATTTTTCAGACCTTCCACACTGAAATTCAAAATCAATTTGGGGTTTTTATTCGCACATTTCATAGTGATAATACCCGAGAGTATTTGTCTTTCCCATTTCAGCATTTTATAAAATCTCATGGGATTATTCATCAAACATATTGTTCGTACACATCTCAACAAAATGGGGTAGCTGAAAGAAAGAATAGACATCTTATTGAAACTACTCGTACCCTACTCATACAATCTCATGCTCCGTTGCGTTTTTGGGGGGATGTCGTTCTTATATCTTGCTATCTTATTAATCGTATGCCATCTTCAGCTATCCAGAACCAAGTTCCATTCTCTGTCATGTTTTCCCACTTACCTTTGTTCTCTCTTCCACCACGTATCTTTGGAAGCACTTGTTTTGGCCATAACCTTACTCCAGGAACAGATGAGTTAGCTCCTCGTGCTCTTAAGTACGTATTTTTGGGTTTCTCGAGAACACAAAAGGGGTATTGTTGCTACTCTCCTGACCTTCAGCGGTACCTTATGTCCGTTGATGTTACCTTCTTTGAAACACAGTCATACTTCACAGGTTCAGGTCATCACTTAGATATTTTTGAGATACTACCAGTTTCATCTTTTGGAGATTCAGTCACGCCAGCTCCACCACCTACAGCTCTAGTTGTAGCTCCACCACCTATAGCTCCAGTTCCACCACCTACAGCTCCGGTTGTAGCTCCACCACCTATAGCTCAAGTTCCTCCACATAATCTAGTTCAACCTTCTGTAGCTCTACCACTCTTGACTTATCATCGCCGTCCACATCCAGCATCAGGCCCAGGTGATTCACGCCTCGCATCAGATTCTGCACCTACTGCGGACTTGTCTCCTCTTAGTCAACCAATTTCACTCCACAAAGGTGTACGATCCACACTTAATCCTAATCCCTACTATGTCGGTTTAAGTTATCATCGTCTGTCGTCACCACATTATGCTTTTATATCTTCCTTGTCCACTGTTTATATCCCTAAGTCTATGGGTGAGGCACTATCTCATCCAAGATGGCGACATGTTATGATTGACGAGATGTCTGCTTTACATGCGAGTGACACTTGGGAGCTTGTTCCTCTTCCTGCAGGTAAGTCTACTATTGGTTGTCGTTGGGTTTATGCAGTCAAAGTCTGCCCGGATGGCCAGGTTGATCGGCTTAAGGCTCGTCTTGTTGCAAAAGGATATACTCAGATTTTTGGGCTTGATTATAGTGATACTTTCTCTCCCGTGGCTAAATTAGCATATGTTCGTCTCTTTTTTTCCATGGCTGATGTACGTCATTGGCCTCTTTATCAATTAGACATTAAGAATGTTTTTCTCCACGGTGATCTTGAGGAAGAAGTTTATATGGAGCAACCACCTGGTTTTGTTGCTCAGGGGGAATTTAATGGTTGTGTGTGCAGATTGCGCAAGTCACTATATAGTTTGAAACAGTCCTCTCGAGCTTGGTTTGATAAGTTCAGCACAATTATTCAGGAGTTCGGCATGACTCGTAGTGAGGCTGATCACTCTGTATTTTATCGCCATTCTGCTCCTAATCTGTGTATTTATCTAGTGGTTTATGTTGATGATATTGTTATTACTGGTAATGATCAGGATAGTATTACTAATCTGAAGGAACATTTCTTTCAGCACTTCCAGACTAAGGATCTGGGCAGATTGAAGTATTTTTTAGGTATTCAGGTCGCTCAGTCTAGCTCATGTATTGTTATTTCACAGCGGAAGTATGCCTTAGACATTCTTGAGGAGACTGGAATGATGGGTTGCAGAGCTATTGACTCTCATATGGATCTGAATGCTAAGCTTCTGCCTGGACAGGGGGAGCCTCTTAGAGACCCTACGAGATATAGGAGGTTGGTTGGCAAATTGAATTACCTCACAGTGACTAGACCTGACATTTCTTTTCCGGTGAGTGTTGTAAGTCAGTTTATGGATTCTCCCTGTGATAGTCACTGGGATGCAGTTGTTCGCATTCTTCGGTATATAAAGTCAGCTCCAGGCAAAGGATTACTATTCGAGGATCGAGGCCACGAGCAGATTGTTGGGTACACAGATGCTGATTGGGAAGGATCACCTTTTGATAGACGTTCAATGTTTGGATATTGTGTTCTAGTAAGAGGTAATTTGGTCTAGTGGAAGAGCAAGAAACAGAATATAGTTGCTAGATCTAGCGCCGAAACCGAATATCGGGCCATGGCTATGGCGACGTGTGAGTTAGTTTGGGTCGAGCAGTTGCTCAAGGAGTAAAAGTTCGAAGAAATCAGCAAGATAGAACTAGTGTGTGATAACCAAGTTGCTCTTCATATTGCGTCAAATCCGGTGTTCCATGAGAGGACTAAACACATTAAGATCGACTGTCACTTTGTTAGAGAAAAAATACTTTCAGGAGATATTGTTACAAAATTTGTAAAGTCGAATGATCAACTAGCAGATATTTTCACTAAGTCTCTTACTGGTTCTCGTATTAGTTACATGTGTAACAAGCTCGGTACATATGATGTGTATGCACCGGCTTGAGGGGGAGTGTTAGTTTATAGATATGTATAGTGTAGTCTTGTCTCACATTGGAAGAAGAGTAATATCTCCTTGTAGTGTATAGCTATAAATAGGGACCTCTTGTATTGTATTTATCATCCAATATCAATAACATATTTTCTCACGTGCCTTCTCACACAGACTACTAATAGCTTGATTTTGGATCGAATACTCAAGCCCATTGAAGAATGAAAAAGAGTTGAGGCAATGAATGCCTATGGTGGAGAGATGTTTTTTGTGATCTCTCTACCCGCTCGAGTTCATGCTGATAATTTGTCCAAGGCAGGATTTGTGAATATAGAAAAACTTAATCGGCTTAACTATTAATTTATTAATATTGCACGAACTTCTCACTTCCTTCTGTAGGGGTAAGGATGAGGGATGCTTATTCTCGTTGGAACTTCATATTATTTGCCTATCTTGGCCATCTTTTGGTGATACTTCTTCCATTAGATGAATTTTCTGCAAGAAGAGACAATGTGACTGATGCACCAGCAAATTCGTAATAGATCAACCAAAACAACAGACGTTACTCTTAGACTTCCTGTTAAATCATTTAATGTGTGGAAGCTTTACGGATTTTACTTTCTGTCAATTAAGAAAGTAAAATCATTTGATGCTAAGGAACTCTGGTGTTATTTTTACTGATCGAAGGAAGATGATTGAAAATCGTAATAAAGTTTACGGGAGAATCATCAGATGCTCATCAGAAGCAGTGGTATGATATCGATGAGCACTCTGGAATGATTACTAAGATTCAGATGCTCTCAAGTAGTGTTGATCTGTCAATTTGTCTATATGTTGTCCTTCGCTTTTTCACCATTGTGTTACCTCATGTTTTCTATCAAAATTTTATCTTGCTTCTTATTGTGGATACATATTTAGGCGTGTAAAAAGCTCAATTGCATCGAGCTCTCAGACTGTGAGATGTATACCTCTTGTGAGCCCTGTCCAATGTGCTTTGGTGCTATCAATCTGTCAAGAATTAAGGTCTGTTTTTGCTCCCTTTTCGTCTTTCCCATTTAATCCTGTACTACTGGACTTGACATTTCTTACTTTATAACCAATTGCTGAGTTCTTTTTCCCAACAATATTTGCACAGCGTTTGGTATATGGAGCCAAAGCCGAAACTGCCATTGCAGTTGGCTTTAATGCAAATGCTTCAGGAGGTACTGGGAAGGCACAGTTAGAGATCAAGAAGGCTGATGGTAAGGCGGCACTTATGGCAGAGGAAGTTTTTGAGAAAACCAGAGGAAAATTTCCAATATGTTGAGTGAAGCAATTCATTGTATTTTCCCACTCGGAGAAAGACAAAAATCATTAAAATAATTATGATGTAGCAAAATTGGTTATGCTCTTAATAGATGCTCAAGTTATTTGGAAAAACTTTACTAACACTGGTTATGTGAGGTTTTGTTTTGTCCCACAACATAGTGAATCCAATTCTTATATATTTGGGACAACAAAACCTTGGGTCTACTTTGTTGTAAGATAAATCTAGTGTCACTTGTGTGACACACAAAATAAAAAAAATTCAGTTATATGCATTTGTTGGACACAAACTAGTTGGTATCAACCAGTTCGACAAATCAATGACAGAAAAGCACAAACAGGTACACCTTCTACTTTTCCTTCTTTTTTTGGATGAAGAAATCACATAGCTTTTTTGCTTTTGCTGAAATTTAAACCCGAGATATCGTTATTTTTAACTCACTTTATTGATTACTAGACAGCACCGAGGAGTGCTTATACCTTCTACTTTTTCTTATACCAGTACTTAGCTTTTGGATAAGCGTAGATCTTTATCCAATGTCAGAGAACTATCAGATCTCAGAATTCACGCGAGTTGCACGTGGTATGAAAGCCTTCCAAACATCTTCTTTGTTATTCTCTCCAATTGCCATATCTGAAAAACTAAACAGGCTTTTTGTATTTTGGAACTTGGAGTCCACGTA